AAAAGATACTGTTTCATGTCAGGTGCACATGCCTGTAGTCCCAGCTACTCGGGAGGCTGAGGCTGGAGGATCGCTTGAGCCCAGGAGTTCTGGGCTGTAGTGTGCTATGCTGATCGGGTGTCCACACTAAGTTCAGCATCAATATGGTGACCTTCCAGGAGTGGGGAGCCACCAGGTTGCCTAAGGAGGGGTGAACTGGCCCAGGTCGGAAATGGAGCAGGTCAAAACTCCCGTGCTGATCAGTAGTGGGATCATGCCTGTGAATAGCCACTGCACTCCAGCCTGGGCAACATATCGAGACCCCATCTCTAAAAAAAATAAAAATAAAAATAAAAAGATACTGTTTCATTATCAACATGGAAATACAAATTAAAATCACAATGAAATGCCCACAGACGTACACCCACCAGAATGGCTAGAATTAAGAAGACTAGCAGTACTGATGTTGGTAAGGATGTGGAGAAGCTGGCAGCATATGCTGCAGTGGGAGTATAAATTGATACAGCATTCTGGAAAACTGTATGGTAGTATCTACTAAAACTCAATATAGGCCTGCTCCATAACCCAGCAATTTATTCTTGCCTATTTACTCAACAGAGATGTTTACTTATATGCAAAAAAAGAAATATATCAGGATGTTCACAACGGACATAATAAAATGTCCATCAACAGTAGAATGATGGCTGGGTGTGGTGGCTCACACCTGTAATCCCAGCACTTTGGGAGGCCAAGGTAGGTGAATCACTTGAGGTCAGGAGGTCGAGACCAGCCTGACCAATATGGTGAAACCCTGTCTTAAAAAAAAAAAAAAAGAGGGCCGGGTGTGGTGGCTCACACCTGTAATCCAAGCACTTTGGAGGCCAAGGCAGGTGGATCACCTGAGGTCGGGAGTTCAAGAGCAGCCTGACCAACATGGTGAAACCCCGTCTTTAAAAAAATAAAATAAAATAAAATAAAGAAAGAACATAAAGAACAGTGGAATGAGGCTGGATGCAGTGGTTCACCCCTGTAATCCTAGTGCTTTGGGAGGCTGAGGGAGGAGGATTGCTTGAGGCCAATAGTTCAAGGCTAGCCTGGGCAACATAATGAGACCCCATCTCTACAAAAAATTTTAAAAATTATCCACGTGTGGTGGCATGCACCCGTAGTCCTAGCTACTTGGGAAACTAAGGCAGGAGGATCACTTGAGCCCAGGAATTCAAAGTTACTGTGAGCTATAATCGTGCCACTGCACTGCAGCCTGGGCAACACAGTGAGACTCTGTCTAAAATACATATAGATAGATTAGACAGATAGACAGTAGGATGGATAATTTGTGACATACTGATATGTAACGGAATATTATAGGATTTGACTGTATGGCAATGAGAAGGAACTGCTGCTACATATAATAAGACGCATGACCTAGGTTGAGTGAAAGACTCCAGACACAAAAGAGTACATATTTATGATCCCATTTATTACTTATTTATTTATTTAGAGACAGTGTCTTCCTCTGTCACTCAAGCTGAAATACAGCGGCACAATCATGGCTTACTGCAGCCCTGACCTCCAGGCTCAAGCAATCCTCCCACCTCAGCCTCCTGAGTAGTTGGGACAGGCATGCACCGCCATGCCTGGCTAATTATTTTGTTGCTGTTTGTTTTTTGATTTTTTGAAATGGAGGCTTGCTCTGTCCCCCAGGCTGGAGTGCAGTGGCACAATCTTGGCTCACTGCAACTTTCACCTCCCAGGTTCAAGCAATTCTCCTGCCTCAGCCTCCCCAGGTAGCTGGTACTACAGGTGCATGCCACCACATCTGGCTAATTATTTTTGTATTTTTAGTTAGATGGGTTTCACTCCGTTAGGATGGTCTCAATCTCCTGACCTCGTGATCCACCCACCTCGACCTCCCAAAGTGCTGGGATTACAGACGTGAGTCACCATGCCCAGCCTACATGTATATTACACTTCATGGGCTAACTAAAAATACAAAGTGGGCCAGGCGCAGTGGCTCATGCCTCTAATCACAGCACTTTGGGAGGCAGAGGCGGGCCGATAACTTGAGTCCAGGAGTTTGAGACCAGCCTGGGAAACAGAGTGAAACCCCATCTCTGCAAAAAATATGACAATTAGCCAGGCATGATGGCAAGCACCTGTACTCCCAGCTACTCGGAGGCTGATGTGGGAGAATCACTTGAATCCCAGGCTAGAGTGCAGTGACGCAATCTGGAGGTTGCAGTGACTCCAGATTGCACCACTGCACTCTAGCCTGGGTGATGGAATGAGACTGTGTCTCAAAAAACAACAAAGGCCGGGCGCGGTGGCTCACACCTGTAATTCCAGCACTTTGGGAGAACGAGGCGGGTGGATCACAAGGTCAAGAGATCAAGACCATCCTGGCAAACACGGTGAAACCCCGTCTTTACTAAAATATAAAAATTAGCTCGGTGTGGTGGTCGCACGTCTGTAGTCCCAGCTACTCGGGAGGCTGAGGGAAGAGAATTGCTTGAACCCGGGAGGCGGAGGTTGCAGTGGGCCAAGATAGATTGTGCCACTGCACTCCAGCCTGGCGCCTGGCGACAGAGCAAGACTCTGTCTCAAAAACAAAACAAACAAACAAAAAAAGTGGTCCTCACACCTAGAGCAAAGTGAGCATAAAGTGTGCTAATGTGAGAAATTGTTCCTGCAGAGAAGACTGAAGTCAGCTCAGACTCTGGGCCCCTGCCCCTCCAGCCTCTGGAGACATCATCACCCTCCAGTGGGGCCCTGCGCCTGGGCCACAGGCTGAGACCTTGGTGGAAAGGCGGAGGAAGGGAACTGGTGGCTGGAGGAGAAAGAGGAAGCAGAGTGTGGAAATTATTGTAATCAAACTGTGCTCACAACCAGAGGTCTAGACTTGGGACAACTGCTGAGGGAAGGTATGTCAAGTTCTGGCCTTAAGACTGGACACACTTTACCTATAAACCAAGCAAGGGATTTATTGAACCTCTCTAAGTCTCTATTTTGGTTTTTTTTTCTTTCTTTCTTTCTTTATGCTTTTTTTTATTTTTATTTTTTTTGAGACAGTCTTGCTCTGTCGCC